CTCTCTGTGGGATGGGGTTTCATGTTAGCCACTCTCTATGGGATGGGGTTTCATGTTAGCCACTCTCTATGGGATGGGGTTTCATGTTAGCCACTCTCTATGGGATGGGGGTTTCATGTTAGCCACTCTCTATGGGATGGGGGTTTCATGGTCGCCACTCTCTATGGGACGGTGGTTTCATGGTAGCCACTCTCTATGAGATGGGGGTTTCATGGTAGCCACTCTCGATGGGATGGGGTTTCATGGTTGATTAGGAGCTTGTTTCAAAAGGAAACCTGTAGAAAATAATTCATGAATGAAAAAAAAGCTGGACTAAAGAAGCAGTAATATCCAATACCCAACAGTGAAAATCTCTGCTCAGAACCTTTATTTATTTTAGTATGACTGGCTGGAATAAATGCTGTGAGGGAAATGTGATCCATAAGGGTAACCGTAAACTGACAAATGTCATTAATAGACAGTATTATGCTCCTTTTCAGACCAGTTCATGGACAGAGTTTTAAACTGTCAAGGATTCTGATGAAGCTTGAATATTGTCTTCCATGTTTTTTTCCAGTGGTGAAATTATTGCTATCATCATGTGCAAATTAAACTGTCAAGGATTCTGATGAAGCTTGAATATTGTCTTCCATGTTTTTTTCCAGTGGTGAAATTATTGCTATCATCATGTGCAAATTGTAGTGCAGTTAGAATCAAATAAAGGGTTAAAGACATTTTTTCTGGTAAGATGCAGTTAAAATCATTAATTTCAGTACCTTACAGTTTCCGTGCCTCATTTTTGCAGTTCCAAGCACAATGAAATGAGTGTTTTGTGCGGGATATACATGTACCTTTCCTTCCAATAAACTTATAAACACTTCAAAGGTAGTGTTCAACACATGGATTGAAAGATCTCAGCTTAATTTTTCTTTGGCGATGTGTGAAGTAAACCGAAGTGAGATTTGAAGCTTTGCATGGTTGAAGTTACATGAGATATAGGCTTGCGGGTACACCATGGAATCAATCTCTTTTTGGGGGGAAGAGATGTGGTTGTTAGAAGAACCGATGAGTGTTAACTCATGCTCTGGTCATCCTTAGTGTGCCAGACTTGGGTGGACAGCTGGGTTATAAAGGTAATCCGGAAGTGGTGGAGCATGGAACAGGATTCGCAGGTTGTGTAACTGCTGCGCGTGCACTGGGGCATGGTGGTGTTGGATCCTGTGGTGGTGTGGGGATCAGACTCTGGCACACCCTCCTGAGGACGGCCAGAGTATCCTGGTCGAAACGTTGAGAGTTAACACTCACCGGTTCTTCTAAGAACCACACCTCTTCCAAAAAGAGATTGATTCCATGGTGTACCCACAAGTCTACGTGTATATCTTATGAAGTAACCTTAATGTATTCTAACCAAAAAAGCTTCTTTAAAATGTCCAGGGTGACACAATTTTTCTGTCTTCATATTGGATTGCATATAGTGTTCAGATTTTGGTGATTGCTTGAAATGCTATCTGTCCTGAGTGGGGTAGAGAGAGGGCGCAATTTTCCTGGCAACAGAGGCTTCTTTGGCAAGAGCTGTACAGTTTACCTGTACTTCGCTGGTTTACAAACCACTATGAAACGCATTTGTTGCGGTCGTATGCTACAAACACAACGAACACTCCGAACCAACATGACTCTTTCCAACCGATAAAGGGGTGCTTCTACTCAAAGCAAATAGTCAATGGACTGTTGCTGAGGGTGGTTTGTTAGGTAAAACTTTTTTACTCTAACTTTTAATAGCCCAAAAAATTAGGGTCGGATGATAGTCTCTATTTTTTTGGGGGGGGGCATATATTTGTAACCGGTACATGTACTAAGTCAGTGTCTTATTAATACTGTACACATGCACATCAATATTACAATCAGCACTGTGATTGAGTGGTATAAAGGCAGCTGGTTGTTGAAAAAAGTTGAATCACAAACATGATTACAAGATCTACATGTAAATGGGCAGTTTGTAAGTTGGTTTTGAGGGCAGGTAATGCCACCACATGCAAAAAGAGGGCTGGTTTCCTTCATATTTTACAATTGCTGACCAGCAGTAGGGCTGAGTCCATTGGCGGTGGAAGCAATGGGGACCAGTGACCCCCCAACTTTTCGACGGGAGGGGGACCCCCCCACTTTTTGTAGGGCTTATAATGAGGTAGGGCTTAATGGATTGGCCTATTAATAGCAGATACCTGATGGTCTAACACCTGGCTCCCCCACAATGAAAAAATTCTGCCACTGCTGGCTGAGTCAATTTGAAGAATTCACTATCTGAATATTTGACCTTCAATTTGATCAAATATCCGAATTTTCGGTCATACCCACCGACAGGGTTGTTTGATTTAAATCACTCGATTTAAATCATTGATTTAAATCATGATTTAAATCAATGGAAAAATATAAAAATCACTATTTTATTTCTTGATTTTTTAAAAGAAAAAACAGTTAGTTACTGAAGGAACTTCAAAGAAAGTGCTCATTAAGTTAAACTTGATCATTTTAAGTGCACTACACATAAGGGGGCCTACGTATTCTGAAGCAATTCACATATGTACATGTACGAGTTGTAGCCTATGTTCAATTTGAAGTGATGTTCCTATAGTATGTATACCTGCACAGAATGCCTGTGTACCATTAAAATTGGCTTTGCGCAGAGACACTTGTCATTTGCTGTTATATAACATTCTACATGTATGCAAATGTCCCCTCCCCCTGCTTTACAGGCCATTGATAAAACCACTTTGTCTATGGTCCGAATAGCCACATCGGCAATAGCAAAGAAATAGTTCACATGCGATGTACGTCTGTGGTGTAAATAAAGTATACATGTACGTGTAGTGAGTGTTGTACATGTGAATGGTACATGTAGCTGTAGCTGCAATTAAAAGGATTGAGAGGGAATTTGGGGTGTTTCAAGCAAATGGTCATGATGGATAGGCTCAACCGGTTTTAGCTTCTTAAAAAATCAAATTATTTATAAATAAAAAACCTGATTTAAATAAAAAAAATCTGATTTAAATAAAAAAATTATGATTTTCAAATAGAAAAAAAAAATCATGATTTTTATCAACCCTGCCCACCGACAGATTGTTGATGAACAAAGCCCCCCAAAATCAGTTACAATAATGTACACAATTGTACATTATAATCAGTGTAATACATCTGTAGCTTCTCACATCTAGGAGTATCTCCAACCATGATTTAGCAAGATTTAAGAGATGAACAGCACTTCTTGCCCTATTGAAAATTTCTTTTCCCTTTAAATTGTTTAATGAATAATTTACTTTTTGAATCGTAAGATTTCTGTCACTTTTCATTTGAATCTACTTGAAGCAAGCCTCCACAGTGCAATTCTTTAAATTTGAAACAAAAGAAAAGTTCCCTTTTTCATGAATTTTGCATTCAAAATTCAAATTTGGAGAATAATATTTGAATATTTTATAATTGATCAAATATTTGAATATTCTGCACAGCCCTTACCAGCAGCTAACTTTAAAATGAAGAAATCGGTCCACGTGTTTGTAATGGAACAATGGACATGTCAAGTACTAGGCAAGTAAGCCTCCATGGCATGAAGTTTGTACAAGAAAGCCAAATACAGCTGACTCTTGTTAATACGAGGGCCTTGGGACTTTCTAAATTAGCTTGTATTATGAGGACCTTGTCTTATGCGAAAGCTGCTGTCCCGCTTGTCGCATGTGTAACCGATCAACCGCATCGTTAAGAGTACATCATGTATGTACAACTTCCTGTACATACATGTAGGCCTACATGTACTTTGTATGCACGTACGTGTGGTTTGGAATTTAATTTCAAGACCGTTAATGTTTATGAAAGTGAGAAGTTAATGTACTTTTTATGAATAAAGACTTGAAATAAAGAACAATAACATAATACAAGAACGGAGAAATGGATCACGTCGAGTTGGAGGATGCATGGTTGGAGCGATGCCGTTTTACGTCCCCAGCACGCCGCGATGAGATCGTTATACAACGCACGCAAGTACGTTAACATTTTAGGTGGTAACCAACATCAGTGCTGTGCTTGTTGCACAAAAAAGGCGGGAACCAGTTATTGGTGGTGTGGATCGGCCAGTAGAGGGCTTCACTTGATGAGTGAACACCGCAGCGCTTTACCTGCTGTACACCATCAATTACAAAAGAGCCTTTCTGAATTCAATGGATTGACTGATTGACGAGTAGCCTTCAAAAAGGCTTGTGCTAATTAGACGGATAAGAATACATTTGCAGGCAGCTGGGGCCCCCAAAATGCTCGTCTTAAACGGAATCTGGTAGCATGCGAGCTCGTATTTTGGATTTTTTTTCCCTCATAGGAATGTGCATAATTCATTCGGGACTGGCAAATATACTCGTCTTAACTGGAGTCTCGTCTTACCCGAGCTCGTATTACCGAGAGTCGACTGTACATGTACATTGTCCATGTACAAGTGATGGTATCGTGAGCTTGAGGGCTAACATATAAACCATAACTCATTAATACCTCACACAGTCTACCTACATGTATTCAGTAACGCGCAACTTCAGTGTGTATCAATATTTGATTATGCCCGTTGAAAAGTAATGATGCACTGGCGCCTTGATATGAGACGGTTTATTCTTTTCTGATTGGTCAAGAGTCTGTGTACATGTGGCTTGCCACGCACTCGCCATGTCCATATAAGGAGATTCTGAATAATTATAAAACAAAGTGGATGGCAATGTTCAGGAAAATAAAAGTAAAATTCTACAACAGAATCATTGGAAATCCGTCATAAGCATATTTTGACTTCTTTTGACTTCTGACTAAAAAGATATTTATGTGTGGGAATATCGATAAACAGGAAACTGAAAGCTGATAATGCCCTGGCCTGCGGCTCGTGCATTAGTCGCATCCATTCTCCGTCATAGCTGGTCTATAACTCACGTTTAAGACCGGCTAAGCTCATATTTATTCCCTTACTGATTATCATAACACATTTGGTTGTTGGGCCATGATTGAAGGAACTAACTGTCAGGGTAACAAAACTTTGCTAGAGAAAATTCAGGTAATGAGGGTAGTAAAGGTGGAAACTTACTGGCTTGGCCTATTGATCAAGAAGCATTGACGTGAAACTGTTCTTGTCTATGTTGACTTGCTTGCAAGGTCCATCAACCGCTTGGCTGACAAAATGATATTTGCTGCCGGATTTTGCTTATCGGTCAGCTGGTATTTTTTCTGTATTGCTTGAACAGAGCATCATTTGGATAAGGGCATCAGTGCTTGTCTCCCAGCAGATCCCTGTCGGCACCGTTTGTGCAGCGGTTCAGCCAACTCCATCATTGTAGTTTCAGACTATATACTATTGATGTGTGTTGTACACTGTGCCGCCAGGTCGTTACATGTACCTCGTGCAGTGTCAGAATTGAAACATAGCACAGTCTGTATAAAGCAAAATGGGTCAGTTGGGATCGTTATGTGTCCGTTCACGGGAAATTTTCCAGATTTCGTGTTTTCAAAATTCTTCAAAATATCATAGCTTCATTTGTTAGATGTTTATACCCACACGAATAACTGTCTGGTGACTGTTCTAATCTGACAGAGGACATCTATTGACGCCCTAGTATTTCAGCCAGGCCTGCCACCTTGTAAAGAGAGCCCCCAGACTGTGCAGTGTTATGTAACTTTCTTTTGTTCCTGAATCTGGCACAGTGCGCTACTGGCATCTTTTCAGTAGGGGCCAGATTAGCATGGCCGCAGCGGTATTGTATTGCTTATTGTTGGAGTGCTGGACCCCTTTTGTCCCCAGTGGTAATCCGCTCGTGCTGAAGGCCACTAACAGTGGTATAATCTTTCAAAACAATGACGGATTTCCTCCGCTATTGACAACTCAAAAAATGTTGGAAATTCCCAGCAACGTGGTCTTTTGTTCTGAGTACGGTCTTTTGATACAAGGCCCAGCTCTTTTGTCCGGTTTCGGGCTCCAGGTTTCGTGTATAAAGCCTATGTGCCCGAAACTGGGCTTCCCGGCAGCATATGGTTAATACCAGTTATGCTTTTGGATAAAAATGGTGCAATTTCTTTCCAGGATCTTTAATACCAAAGCATGAACATGGCTTTAAATCAAGCTTTGCTTATTTTTGTGATTGACAGTATCTGGTAATGAGCTGAAGAAAGTAGCCTACCCAGCAGGAGATAATCGACTAGGTCAGACACTGTCTGGTACCATGACTATGGGGCAGACATTGGATCCTAAGGCATTAGCTAATGCTGCAGCCGCTACCGAGGCATTGGGGGCTCCACCAGTAGGCATCAGCTTCAGGTTAGTTGGTCAGTTCTTGCGCACCAGTATAGTGCCTTGTACGTGCCATCGTGTACTGTAGTAATATTGCCAACTTTGCACAGACTTGCTTGAAAATGGCACCATCATTTGAATAATTGGTAGATTGTTTCAGACTGATAGTGAGCGCCTTGTTAATCTTGTGTTAATGTTTGGCAGTTAGTAAGGCATGTTTATTGAAGTCTTCTCAAAGTGATGACATGCATGTATCTGGCACACTAACTGTACATGTACATTTACCGGTAACCCTTCTATGAATGATAGAGTAATACAGTGCACTGTTCAGATTGTGTAGTCCAGTCACTGTTTTTCATCCTATGCGGTTGTATCTAATTAGGTTATGTGAGGATGTGTTGTACAGTGAGGAACCACAGATGGCTTACTGGTGCCCCGAAAGGAAGCAGTGGAGATTAGATGGCTTTATTGATATCAAGTTTAATGAGGGTAAGATTCAAAAGCATTTCCTAATAAGATTGTTTTTATTTTCAGTTGATCTTATTTTGCGCAGCGATAGGCAATGTAAGTGACTACGTAGGACAGACAATGTTTTTGTTAGGTTTTGTGTTAATTCTGTCAACTCAGTGGCATTTAATACTTTTGATGATTAGTTGGAATGGAATTCATGTGTTATGAAAAATATTTGATATGATTTTGATTAGAAACAAGAATTCTGTCGTTCAAGACAATCAACTTTGGACCTTTAGCCTGTCTCCAAGACAAGCACATCAATATGCCATTCCAGTCCTGGGAGTTGCGTCCTATTGCTGTGAATCATGCTAGATTTACTGTCATGGCAGCTATTATTGAAGCAGAGATTGAGATCAAGGTAAGTTGGCTGGTGGCAATGAATAGAGTTAATAGTATCACATGCTAACCTTGTTTGACAACAGTGACATTAACTCCAACCCCAAGGTGTGTGAAATAACGTGAACGTGTTTAGCGGATGTGGTTATGTTGATGAGGTGTCTAGCTGATGTGGATATGTTAATGTTTTTAGCCGATGTCGTTATGTTGATGAGGTGTCTAGCTGATGTGGATGTGTTAATGTGTTTAGCCGATGTGGTTATGTTGATGAGGTGTCTAGCTGATGTGGTTACATGTACATTGATGAGGTCTATCTGAAGTGGTTATATTGATGAGGTCTAGCTGATGGTATGTTGTTTGATAAGTCTACTTGATCCTTTCACGTTAGTGATTTACATGTATCTTCATCAGTTCTGACTAATTAATTGTCTGTGCTGTTTATGTGACCAGTTGCCATCATGTTTATGCTGTTACAGGGATCATTGTGTTGCTTCAGACAGACACCTGATAGCGAGATCAAACCAGAATTGAATGACCTGAAGGAGAAATGGATGACACCTAAAGAGCTGATCAAGGTTATTTCCATCAAACTGAGTGTGGTTTTGCTAATATAGAAAGAATGCTAATCATGAAAGAAATTCAAAATTGATATTAACCCCTTAACACTGGGATTCTTTTGACTGCAACTGCTAGGCTGCGGTATGCCCAGCATGCAAAGCACTGTCCTGCAGCAGACCCATACTGAAACTGCAGGTGCATGATGAATAGAATGTATGTGTGTTATGCACGAATCCTCACACAAAGCTGCGGCTGTCGACATCTCCCGGTGTGAAGGAGTTAATGTGCTGGTTTCTCATTTTCCTGATGTTTTTCTGATGCTTCCATTCAGAAAAAAACCTCTGTGTAAAGTGATGCTATAAGTGAAGTATTGTAAGTGCCATGTAGTTGCTGAATTGTGCAGTCTTGAGACAGTTTAAAGAGCTGAGATATTTTCAAAGAGTTGATATGGCATCTAAGGGACATGGTCAAGATCATAGACAGCAAGTATTGCACTGAATGCCACCATACATGTATCTTGTAATCAGACAAAGACATACACGGCAACAAAAATTTGAGTGTTTAAAACTTGGCTAAATCAGACAGTTGTAGACAAATTTTTTTTACCACAAACAGTTGTATAATCTTTCAAAACAATGATGGATATCCTCCATTCTTGACAACTGAAAAAATGTTGGCAATTCCCAGCAGCTCGATCTTGTTCTGAGTATGGTCTTTTATTACAAGGCCCAGCTCTTTTGCCCAATTTCGGACAACCCTGCATTAGGTACAAAGAAAATGAACCCCAAACTGGGCTCCCGGTGTAAAGTTGGTCAAACATTCCATTTTTAATTATTGGCACTATTGGTTTTCTGTGTGAATTGTGTAAGAACCGACCATTGTCATGTTGCATTACAGAGAACTTATTTATGTATCCGAAATTGTTTCACTTAATACAACGTGATTGTCTAGAAAAAGGAATGAAGTGTCCTACTAACTGAAGTGAGGTCACTCATGATACGGCAGGATGCTGTAGTGGGAGGATTGCTTTTATGTTATTCATTGCATGTTTGTGTTGCAGGCTATGAAGACTGTTGGTGTCAACCTTTTCCCTGAAGATGATTCTAAGAAGTATGTCAGCATTGTGGAGAAGGTGTGTTTACATTGTTGTAATAATGAAGAAGGGTCTTCAGTCTGTGTAACACAACTCGCCTCATTCTCAAGACTATGGTCTTGGCACATGTACTGGTACATTTTGGTACATTGCTCACAATTCCAAAGACTGTTGTGTAATACCGGCAATTCACAACAGTGGGCCTCCAAGAGTTTGCAACACGTTAGCCAATCACAATGCACGAAATCTATTGACCCTTTCCAAAGTGTTCCAAACTCTTGGAGGCGCGCCGTCGTGAAATGCCCGAATTCTCAGCAGATAATCCTTCAGGAATAGAGCTCCATTCTCTGTTTGGTAATTGGCTTAGATACACACTACCCAAGGAAAGTGGTGGGCATTCTACTTGAAATACATCAATGGGGTATGCATTCTTTAAATTGTTGGACTGGGTACTGGGTTGTTATCGGAGTGGGTAAGCAGAAACCTTCACAGTGTAGTTGGTGTTAATTGTTAAACTGTTCTGGATGGTTGTGTGTTGTAGACCACAGTGATTGAAGATGCTATCTACCATCAGATGGCTCTCTGTGCATCTCATTTTGCATTTGCTTGGAGCAAATGGAATTCTGAGGTGGGAGCAGAGAAAGTTATCGTCCAGGGAACTCAGAAATTGGTTGATGAGGCTCCTCAGGATGTAAGTACTTACGACTCATACAGCTCAAAACACATGTACATGTACTGTTTGGTAACAAAGCTAACTGAGAGAATTACGTTATGTAATTGTGTTGGGGCTGATAAGATGTGAGGACCGATTTCTTGGAGGCGCTAAGCAGAAATTATTGCATGGCAGATTTTCGCCGAAAGCAGCTGTGCTAGGAACCACTCATGGGCAGTGCATATCATGACATATGGTTTGTAACCTTGCATTTTGCTTAGCCAACATTTTCTGTGCTTAGAAATTGTGCTTAATGGCTTTGTGAAATTGAAGCCAGAACATCTTCTCATTTGAATACGTCAGTGGAGGATTAGAGTCACAGTGTCACAGGGCAG